ATACGACGTCGTTGCCAAGCGACGAAAACCCAATCCCGATGGCAAACACCGGGGGGGGCGGGGGAATCGTTTCGTCGCTTGGAAGAAACGTTGTAAAACAAGCCCCCCCCTCGGTGTTTGCCATCGGGATTGGGTTTTCGTCGCTTCGCAACGACTATGTAAAACAAGCCAACTCACTTCGTGAACTCGGCAACCAGGCTACCGGTTTCTTTCTTACCTCTGTTTTTTTTTGGCGGTGACCATAACGGTGGTCGAGTCGAGTAGATTATGGCGTGCGGGGTCGAGAACCCTCACTCCGCGCAAGGGGGATGATCGCACCACGTTGTGTTAAGATTGTCAAGCACCCTCGAGGCAGTTACACAGTGCTTGTAACTGTCTCAAGAAGTGAAAGCACCAGAAAGTAAATTTAGTCATACGCAGCTGTCATCCGTACGCAAGGAAGTAAGCATAAGATGCNCGTCCCGGCTTTGTAGGGATGCGAGGTCAATGGTCTAGCGACACGGCATGCACGACTATGAGTACACCGCTATACTCGCGCTGCCCACTCATTTGCGAAGCTCCCGTTGTTTCCAGTGTGCCTCTGGCTCCTCCGGTTTCGGGCCTTTCACCTCTCGCGTATCTTCATGTTACCGGTTCCTCCCAACTTTTCTACGCTCGTGAAAGGTGCACGCCGAGTGAAACAGAAACTTGCGCTCGCCATGGATTCTACTGCCTCAGTATATTGTTGTCTACACTCAACGGTCTCTTCGTATATTGTTTGGAGACGCCTCACATGTCAATGTCCATCCTTCTATAAATCAAAGGTCGTCCGTGCGCATATTTCACAGCTTATTCTAAGGTCAGGGCGCGTGTTATCAATCAATGTTAGATTTATGGCTTGTATTGTCGAGGTATGTCGTCCAAGAGTCGCGCAGGCGATTGCGCCTATGCGTGTGAAATCGAAAACGTGTTATGAATACTGTGATGCTGTCGCCACACTGGGATTAAAACTCTTGCCTGCCGGTGGTAACGGAGCCGACAGCTCAGTCAGGTGTAAATACTTTAAAAAGTTGGGAAGTGAGCAATGTGGGGCCCTATATCATCTTCATTCTCTCTACGGGTGCAATCTCTGCAGGAACAACCACCTCTCACAAAGCTCCTCACAATGAGTTCCAACCGACGCTTGTTACAAGTTACCTGCCGTAGGTTGACTACAATTCCACATGCTCTAGACCCGATATTTTAAACCGGACCCCTTCCAGTGCAACCAGTGACGGTGCCGAAAGCACCGTTGTAACCGTGTAACCACAATTAGTTTTGGCATACTTTTCTCGTGGAGTCATTGAGCTGTGAAAATCGGTCCATACGGGCGCGTGCGGTATCCTTGGCGTATGCGATAAGATCTGAATTTGGCGGTAGGTGACTTCGCGTTTATGGCGGACACGACTCTAGGCAGGGCGGCACTTTGTTGGCGGCGGTACGTGGATTTGCGTCGGTGCTTTTTACTTGAATTAGTTTTTGGGTTTTAAATATGGGCTCCTCCCCGGCCTTCGCTGCTTTCTGGACCTCAGCGACCAGAACTGACTCGAGTGGGCTGCCGCTCGACAGGAGCGACGCGCCCGGTTGACGGGGTGCTTTCGCGCGGTCCCGCAGGATATCCTGCGCGAGGCCGTCGTCGTAGTCATGTCCGTCTACGTCGTCGTCATCGACNCTGTCCGTCGACGTCGTCGTCATCGACTTCCCCCCACGCGCGTCCATCACCGTTGCCGGTGTGGACGTCGTCGTCGGTTCGACTCCCGATGTTGTCGTCGTGAGCAGACTCAGCATCACTGCTGTCGTTGTCCGCATGGCTCTCATCTCCGTCGGCAAGAGGACCGAAGGAGCCGATGCTGCTGCTGTTTGTGCTCGACGGGGTTGCTAAGCCCGCGGAAGCACCAGCATCTTGTCCAGCGCGCTTCGCCTTATGCTGTCCCTTTTCGGGCTTAGCGGCGGGCTTTGCTGCGGCTGTAGCAGCATCAGAGCGTTGCGACTTCGGCGGCTGTTGCTGATTTTGGTTTTGCGTATTTGCTTTCTTTTTGTTGCCTCCCATGTTTCAGACTTGGGTTACGGCGAAAAAGAAAAACGCTTCGTCGAACGCCAATATGGATGCCCTCTACTCTGGGTGAGTGGAGAGTCCAGGGTTGTGGTGGCTATGTCCTGCCACCGGAGGTTGGCTATTTCCTTTGGTGTAATGTGGCGAGGAATGCCAAGCGTGACCGAGCGAACTCAGTCAAGCTAGGGTGGTGCGGAGAGTGTGGGTGAGCCTTCGTGGACTCATTTCCCCATCCTCCTAAAGATTCATCAACTATTCGCAGCCGTTGGGAATCTGTAGGGTCATGACCCCTTGGGACCAACAGTGATCTATTATCACATATCCCTTGGATCTGACTCTTTATGTACGTGTGTTTGTGCTTCCTGAATCTCCATATCCTGACCTCCACAGGTGTTCATTTTATTTTGAATATTATTTTGAATGTTTTGGGGGTGAGGGGGGGGGTGTACTCATAGTCGTGCATGCCGTAGTCGTTAGACCATTGACCTCGCATCCCTACAAAGCCGGGACGGACCACGCCGGGTTCTCACCGGACCAGGCTCTCACATATCCAAGCGCGAAGCGCCGTGAGTTGTTCGGCAAGTCGCATGAAGGGTGCGCTGCATCCTGCTATGGGGGTTCGGCATCTTGTGCTTACTTCCTTGCGTACGGATGACGTTTGCGTATGACTTATTTATTTTTTCTGGTGCTTTCACTCCAGAGACAGTTGTAAGCACTGTGTAACTGCCTCGAGGGTGCTTGACCAATATTAACACAACGTGGTGCGATTATCCCCCTTGCGGAGTAAGCGTTCTCGACCCCGCACACCATAATCTACTCGACCACCACTCATGGTTACCGCAAAAAAAAAGTCAAAGGCAAAAAAAACGGTAACCTGGTTCCCGAGTTCACGAAGTGAATTGGCTTGTACTACAAAACAACATCGCTGCCAAGCGACTAAACCCAACCCCAATGGCAAACACCGGGGGGGACAAGTCGGCAGGTCCGGGAAAATTCAAGAACTATGGTATTCCGGCGGTTTTCCGTACTTTCCACCAGGGCGAGAAATTGACGGCGGCAACGCCATAAGGCGTTTCGTACTTTCCATCAGGGCGAGAATTTCAGGGCGGCAATGCCGTAAGGCGGTAATTGAGGTGATAGGTTCTGGTGGCTCCTGAACGTATGGTAACATTTGTTTCCGACAATCAACTCAGCACACGTACCGTGCGAAGGGATCTCATCGTTTTCACTAGCGACACATGTTGCCATGATTTAGCTGCAAAAATTGAGGGAAATGCATACGGATTTATCACGCGACAATAATATATCAAGAAGAAATCAACAAGAGGGACAAGCATCGAAAAACAAGATTCGTGTTGCATCTTGACGGATGGTCTCCATAGTTGCCTGATTGAAGGGGCCTCTGCCCTCTCAGCCCACATGGGTCATTTTCCCGTCGACGGTAATGTTTACTATGTATGGCGGCGACGCGTTTTACGCGGTGTTCTCTCTCTGACCCGTCATGTTGACTTTCAATTTCGTTCTTCCTCACGTATCGTGTAGCTAGAAGCTAGCGGAGAGCTCAACGCCACCTATTGTTGAGCTTTGTGTGAGCTCCACATTAACAGATTCAAATTTCTTTCGATGTATCGTAGATGGCGTCGTTGAAAGTGATCGGGAACGGTCGACAGGCGGTCATATATCGTAGATGGCGCCGCTATAGGGTATCGGGAACGGTCGACAGGCGGTCATGTATCGTAGATGGCGTCGTTGTATGGTGTCGGGAACTGTCAGCTTCAAAATATTCATGGGAGGAGAGTTGGAAGAGTGAAAACAGGCGCACCGCCAGTCCGGTTCGTTGAGCTCAAGAAGTACAACGGCCAGCATTTTCATGCGCGCAACATCGTGTCACGCAAACGGAGATTGACTTAGTCGTTTAAATGAAAACCACAGTAGATGCCAACGAATGAAACACATGTGTAACACATGTGTAGACTGTACACACATATTTCTCATCTGCAGAAGGTACAAGGGACTGTGCACAAAATAATAGTTGCACCAACATTCTCGCCCATGTGCCTTTTCTCCTCATTTTTGGGAATTTTACCCAATCAGTTAAACTGGCGAAGGACTGGGTTGTCGTCGCTACTCGAACCCAAGGCCGTTCAGAACTTGATACTTGTAATGTGCGAACAGGTTTTCATATCAGTTTTTGCTGTTATCCATATCGGGCAGTGCGTCTTTACAGCTAAGCAGGTTGGAAAAGACAGAAAACTCCAAGCAATCAGAAGCACTGCTGTAGACTGGTCTTCCATAGTGGCTGTTTGCAACAGAACGGGATTCACACGCTTATACTAACACACTCAAGGGTTCAAGGACAATCTCAACAGCCACGACATAAGAATTCCACATTCCAAAACATTACCCTTGTGTTTTTCGGCCAGCCAGTCGGCGCAGGAGATCGCACAATGGGCCGATCAGCTCACTATGTCACCTGTATCCTCTTTTTACCTGCGGACGCTTCGACACCATAGGCACTGGAGAAAGTTGCACGCTTAACATGGTTCTCGGGTTGAGGACTTGCGCAGCTGAGGAGGAGGAGGAAGGTATCGATCCGATCTGGAGAAGCCTCGGAGCAGGAAATCCTACTCCGCAATATGCGGCCCATGTCTTGCTCCTAAGGCGAGATTCCAGGAGTCTGTGGCCCCGGCAGCACCGCTCAAGAACGTGCGACGACCATGAAGCATAACCGCGACTGTGCGGAGGTCGCCAGTCACCTCTCGCTGGCCAGCACAACCAGCCACAGCAGGTTAAGACATACTTTACTAACTGACGTGGCCAGTTCCGAACAAGAGTTGATGCTCTATTTGTCTAGAGCGTTCAACCCGTCACGTGTTTGGAGCTCGCCTAGCCTGGGAGTATTTCTGGTACTATTTCGTGTTCGCAATCCACGCCGGGCGGGTGTACTTTCCGATGCCTGCGGTCTCCACACACCTCGAATCACTCCCAGCGGTCCTTGGGGAATGGTTGATCTCGCTAGGAACTGGCTAGACGCCCCTGCCTGGGTTGAATGGATGTCGTTTTGCGCTTCTGGAGCAAGGGTGCTCATTATCTTTTCGATTCTGACGGAACACGCTGCTAGTGCACTGATTCGAAGCGCCGATTTTGCCGCGAGCTTGTTCTGGGATTCATTGTTTGGGGTAGCATGGGACATAGTCTCCTTGTTCTACCTCAACGGACACTGGCGTCAACAACTGGGATTCGGACGCCCTGGGTCATCGTGTCGGAACGTTCTTCTTGGTTTGCGTTGGGCCTTTCGTGTTGCTGGTAATGCTTGTGATCATAACTTTGCCGTTTTCGATGGTCGAAGGCAAGTTGGACGATCTCGACGAACATGTCGAAGACAAAACAACCAAGAAGATCAAGATTCGTGATTGGGATGTTATCAAGCTGTCTGCGGCATCAGTTCTTTGAGTGAAGGACTCCACGTTGCAGTTAGAGGACAGTAACGGTCTCGTTGACGTGTTCGAGTGTTCGTTCAAGCTTGTTGAAGGCAGCGAAGCAAAGAATGTCGTACAGTACGGCACGCATGTTCACGACCAACACTCAGCAATGGTGGTGTGGCTGCATCGACGCGCTCGCACAGCTGCCCGAAGCTCAGCGCGACCCGAATGTTGCCCTCAGCACCATCTGTACTTTTGGGGTAACGTTGTACCATTGTTTCTCGTCGCTGCGCGGATGGTACGTTAAGGAGCCTGCCCTGGCACCCGTCGTGAAATCTACGACTGGCCGGAAGAACGTTCGACGTTCCATGTTCCAGGTTGAAAAAGGACGCCCAACGAGATCCTTGGGGAGGGCATACGTAGAGACGAGTAGCGGAAGTGAGGATAGGTGCCCATCGTTAGAACATCCAAGCGAAAGATTTTCAAGTCAACCTTACCCTGACACCGCAGGCGCGGTACGCGTTACTATTCCGACGAGGCCAAAACGTTTCGGAAGCAAGCCCGAACATACCGGATTGCTTGGACTAGTGAACACGGCGGCAGCGATATGGTTCCTGGTGCACTGGGAGTTGGATGTGTACCACGTATTCTTGGCGGGTGCTGTCTGTGGAGAGATCTGGGCCCAGATTTGGGTAGAAATATGGTGGTGTGCGGGAGAGGCTCCGTCGGCCGCTTTCGTAGACCCGGTGCACTGGCTTATCGGCCGGCGAGAGCATGTGCCGCCGGAGCAGTCCGCCTCTTAGCAGGGGAAGCCTCTGCCGCAGTAATTGGCGTCGTGGGTGCTCTGGGGTGATCGAAAATCTTGTCTCCGGCGGTGTCGTGGGGGCGGTCGCTTTGGCAGTTGGGTCCGTGCTCAAGAAGTTCGCAAAAAAAGGAGAGGACATCGCCGTTGTCTACTTTTTGACGTACCTGTCGGAGTTGATCCTGGAAGTCGTCATTTTGGTTACCGGCGAGGATTTCACTCTGGTGACCGTCCTGCTTGGGGTGACCGCCGCCCTGAAGTCCACTATCCTTAGGATCCGCTTGCTGCAGGTCTTGGTAGGACGGTCGCTTATTAGCAAAAAGCTTCCGGTTGGAGCTATGTTGACGGCGATGAGGGAGAATTGGTTTGCCCGCTTTGTGGCCTGTGGGTACTGGGGGGCAGTGATCACAGGCTACAGCCCCGCGTACATCATGGAAGCCATGTGCTCTGGAAGCATCCCGCTGTCTCGGCCTGATGAAGCCCTGGTGAACCTGGCCAACGGAGTTGAATACGAACAAGTTTTGCACACAGAGGGTGTTCGTGGGGCTGCGAACATTGGTGTTGGATACATGTGCTGGATGATTCGGTGTCACGCAGACCGGTAAGATTGCCGTTTAGTAGGGGGCACCCCGATGACCCACGGGGCCCCTCCTTGCTATGGGAGCCGCTCCTTGAGCACTCCCTCTTTCGTCCGTGTGAAGGACGGTCGTCGACCTCGCGTGAAGTTAATACATCACCAAAACAGTCTCACCCGATAAGTGAGTGGCGTAGGCCGCAAACACTTGACAGAGTTCTTTTTCCCCTCGAGGGAAGCCACATTGGAATGAGCTCTGCTGGAGACGAACAGCGCACTGCTGCGAGCGGAGAACAGATCCGCCCGCCGGTGCAGGAGGGCCGCGATGCGAAGCTTGCAAGTTTGCAACTGCAGATTTCGCGATTGGCGGCCCTGGTGGAGGGGAGTCGGTGAAAAAGGAGGAGCCTGGCAGCGTCCTGGCGTATGCGGCCAGTAAGGGCGCTGGGTTGCTGCCCCCGAAAGCTAAGAGCCCCCGCAGCCGCAGGGCGGAGGCGGGGGATTTCTCCAGCAGCAAGCGAGAGATAGTGGGCAAGGACCACGGCAGCTGCTCGAAGGCGGCTGGGCCAGCAGATCGGGAGCGAACCCTGTTGGACCAGCCGGAGTGGGCCCGGGCATAGGACCGGACTACGGGGAAGCGAGGGGGTTAAACCCCCCAGGTGAGATACCCGTGATTCGAGGAAATGGAGAATTCCTCGACGGCTACAGCAGTAGCCACATGAAGAGAGTAACAGTCGATGCCCCGCGTCTCAAAGGGGAGAGTCGCGGCCATGGGTATGACTCGTGTAGAAAGTCGCTTATCCAAGCGGCCAAGACTGTAGGACTGGACGGCCAATTGATCGGCAACAACGAGAGACATGCACCTGTC